CAGCCGCTGCTGAAACTGACCAGCAGCGGCTGGATCAGGGATGCCTGGGGCAGAGCTGGACTATCAGAAGGAGGGGCTATGAGGGGTTTGGGGTGGCATCCCCTCCAACCCCACCTCACCCCATCCCAGACCCCTCATAGCCCTCCCTTCCGATAGTCCGGCAAATCTGATAATCTGGCACCCCCTGGATCCTAAAGGTGCCGGCTTATCGGAAGTTTACTGTATATTGATGGTTGGGATTTTTTACTTTATATAATCTAGTTATGATTCTTTTGCACAGGTTGAATCTCTCTGGTCCAGAACTCTCTGGTCTGGAAATATCCACCATCCGGAATGATTTTAGTTAGCTGGATGTCCACTTTTCATGGGTGTGGCTAAGTTTCCCGTGGTTCAATGAAGATTGTTTACAGCTACCAGTCATAGCTCTCTGTTTTTTAGCACTAATTTACCCCCCAAATGTCCTTTCATGTCCCAGTAAGCAGTGGAAGTGTTGGTAATGCTGCTAGATAGTGACCACTCATGGTCTAGAAAATTCTCTGGTTTGGAACTGGTCAGATCATGAGGGTTGTATAATGTGATATCTCTGCCTTCTTTCACAGCCTTGGCATAAGACTTGCTTCCGTTGTGCTTTTTGTGGAAAGAGCCTAGAATCTACAAATGTTACAGACAAAGATGGAGAAATCTATTGTAAGGGTAAGTTCAATCTTATTTCTGTTCTATTACTGAAAATATCCTTCTAAGTTGCTCTACTCAGACAAGATGTAGGCATCATCACCTATTTTTGTTAGATATCTGAATTTAGGAAAGTATAATGAGTTCACTTCCTTTCTTTGCTTTGTACAGTCCCATACCAAAATTACTGTCTCATTTTTGGGGAGTGAATTTAGAAAGCAAATTAATCTGTATCTTCTTTCATAAATATTAAGTCGTCTCAAATTTGGAATCTCTTGCCACCAAGAATCACATTTGTCCTGCAAAATAATGTGTGGACAAATCCCTATATCTGTACTGGTCCTCACTGACTTCAGTGGCTTTCCACAAGGACAAGAGGGGTCTGGCCACAATGTTTTCATTATAGGATCATGGACCTACATGGGATTTTCCCCTAGGAATCTTACATCGGGAATCAAAGATCTTCATAAATATGCCAACATCACTGAAGATAATAGATTTACTTTGGATTTTTCTCAGATAATGCAAGTCCACAGAGTCAATCCATCCTTAAAAATAGGCTGAAAGGGGTATGAAGAATTTTATATTAGTGTTCTAGGCTGGGATTTTCAAAGATGATTCAGGAAACATTCAACAGGAATTCTGTTAGATCCTTTTTGAAATCCCAGCCCTAATATTTATTCCACATGCTCTGCAAACAACGTTCATGTGAGTTAGAATTTGTTCTAGTACCTATAACTTAGATTTTCTCAGTATTTTACATTACTGGAAATTGTTCTGAGAGGAGCTTGACTTGATCTCACCCAAAACTAAGAAGTTTGTGTATCTCAAAAATAACAAGAATGGACAAAGTTACATTGTCAGAGTTGTGGATGTGCCTGAGAAAAATAATCCATGTTTGCCACTGTACATAGTTTACTGTGATTCCTAATAATGTTTTTAGTATAATTACTACATAAAATGCTCTTTACTAACATCTTTCTCCCTTCCTTTTGCAGTTTGCTATGCAAAGAACTTTGGTCCCAAAGGAATTGGGTTTGGTGGCCTCACTCAAGTGGAAAAGAAAGAATGAAACTTTTTATATCAGGCACATTTCACATCTCTGTTGATGCCACAGATTTATTGATGGCTAAGTAAAACAGTGATGCATTGATAAGAACCTAGGACATTTTAAAAAACTTCTACTTCTCCAAACTCACTGGAAAGCTTTGTAAGCTTATCTCTCAAGAAATTATTGCAGTAGCTAGAAAATACATTTTGACAAAATGGATGTAAGCTCATTCTATACTGAAAATAGCCTAATATTTTGCTACATTCTAATTTGTTTGTAATAATAGAATTTCTTAATATGCTACTTTCCCTGGCTAATGTTATATAGTTTTTGGAGTTTGCCATATAATGTGATGGTCCTATAAGCAAGGGGCAAAGGAAAGTGTTTTGGATGTATACTACTCCAAGGGCATGTCTACACTACAGAGAAGTATCAGAGGGGCAGCCGTGTTAGTCTGAATCTGCAAAAGCAGCGAGGAGTCCTGTGGCACCTTATAGACTAACTGAAGTGTTGGAGCATAAGCTTTCGTGGGCAAAGACCCACTTTGTCAGATGCATATGCTCCAACTCTTCAGTTAGACTATAAGGTGCCACAGGACTCCTCACCGCTACTACAGAGAAGATCAATCCTCTGGAAGCCAATCTTCTAGCATTCAATTTAGGCCTTATGTAGACCCGTAAAATTGAACAGTGAGAGCAGCCCCCGCTGGCATCCGGTACACCTCGTTCTGCAAGGAGTAAGGGAAGAAGGTGAAAGCGTGAGAGTCCATCATTCTCCCGCAGTAGGGACGCCGCGGAGAGAGTCCATCATTCTCCCGCAGTAGGGACACCGCGGAGACTCGGCTTAAGGTAAGCCGAATCCAGCTACTCATTTTGCGTAGCTGGATGGCGTACCTTAAGATGCTCTCCCTGGTCTAGCAGACCAGGTCCAGCACAGCAGAATCTTTCCCATTTTCTCTACCATCTATCCTACCATAATTCCTTAGTAAAATACATTGTTATGTTATGGTGACACTAGTATGAGAGGATATTTTTTTTTTTAAAGGCACATTTCTAATCTGTCACAATAGCAAACAATTTCAGGCTCCCTCTTCCTGAGAGAAAGAGAAAGGGAATAAAAGACAGATTTCTTGAATTGGAAGTCATATTTTCATAAAACAGGAAAAAAAATCAAAGAAGATGTTAAATCTAGTTTTGTATTGGTAGGTTTCTCTTGATACAATAAACTGTAGATACTGCTTTCATGATATGACTGGTTAAATTACTTGGCTCTTATTTGGTCCTCTAATGCTCAAAGCACTCACCTAATTCACCAGGCTCAATAAACAATACCTCTATTGAAACTGTAAGAAATCTCTGGTTTTATTTCATTCTAGTTTACTACTAAACTACTAATAATGGATCATATTTTGAATTGTCTCTGATTAGTGCTCTTTATTTGTGCTTTTTCCCTCCCCTATAGCTAATATTCCCTCTAACCTTTTCCATCCATGCACACAATAAATTTTTATGTGCACTGGGGCATATGTAAGTATGCCCCACCAACAGAAATACAAAAAATCTAGTTATGGGCACCCTAGTAATCAGCTGGGCAGCATTTGTAGATCACCCAAGTGGCCGCACAAGCACAAAGGGAACACTGCCTATCGCCATAAATGTCATTTTTGTTCTTTTCTGTTACAATACAAATCTCCTAGTTGGACACAGTGGGCTCATGCTGAGTGAAGTCCATTTGATGTCTCTGAAAAGTGATTCATATCAGACTCTACATTTTCCAAATACAGCATTAAACTATTTACATTTATCAAGGGTGCAGGTACATTGCTTGGGAGTATGGTAGCCCTACCTTGCAGCCTGAAATATTGTTAAACAATCTTATGCCTGTATCATTAGGTTTTGGTCATGTACCTACTTAGTGGCTGAGTTCTCCATTTCAAAGTGACACTGGGGTAAATGAATGCAAGATTTAGTCTTCTGATCAATTCTTGTTAGACGTTTAAAGAAGCAAGATAGGCCTTTGCAGTTATGTTTAATGATTTTTAAAGATGTAAGTTTCAAACTTTCCCTTGAATATTTAAAAAAAAAGGAAATGTAAGCATGAAATCTAATTTATTTCATGTGAAAGCAAACAGTAAGTCTAAACAGTGATTCTGTACAGATTTACATAGTATAAAGACAAATAAGTTATCAAAAATACAAGGTAGTGTTAAAAACTTTTTGAAATAGTCAATTCAAAAATGTAAAAAATAATTTCCCTTAACAAATGTGTTCTTTGTAGACACAATCTGAAAAAAATCTTTAAAAGGTATTATATACGATTTCTGGAGTGTTATATAAAAATTTCTCATAAAAATATACTTTAAGTGACATCTCATAGTTATATGAAATTTCAAATTGTTAAAGTTGAAAGTACATACAAACCACCACTGCAATGCTTTCAGATCTGTTTTGCTGTAATTTATGATAAACTGTACTATTTGAACAATAGTAACAATATAAAATTTAAGGGCAAGAAAGTTTCAAAAGAATTTGAACACAATATTAAGAATATCCAGTTTTATTTAGCTTTCAGTTTGGCTCTTTGGTGCTTTTCTTCATACAGAATGAACATTTTTACCTCTTGCAGGATGAAATAGAGTATATTGTTTAGTCCAGTCAACTACGTTGGGTGTGAACATACCAAAGCAACGGCACTGAAAAAAGTCTGCAAGGTTCTGAAAGCATCCATGACTGGAAATCAGAGAAAACTCTATTAATAAATGTAACAAAAAAAGAGGGCCAACACAGCAAATATGGTACACTAAAGAGCATTTCAAGCACAAAGCTAATAAGAAGGGTTCTTGCAGAAGAAATTAAAAAACAAAAACATTCCCCCCCCCACCCCACCACGTAAATAGGTTAAGTTTTCACATATCCTTTCCAACCTATATAACACTTAAATGTTAGGAAAAGGAGAATTCAGTAAGTGCCAATTAAAAGCATTAGGGTTGATCTGAAATTATTACCAATAGCATAAAATAGTAAGCTGCTGGAGCTCTGGACCCTTTCAAAAGTCTGGCTGGGGGGATGCTAACCTGACCCCTGCCACTTGTGCCTCAGGTATATTCAGCAAACACTAGTAAATTTAACTTTTATTTGGTAGTAATTAAAGATGATTAATTCCACTTCCTTAAAAATAATTCTCTTAACAAAAATACTTACTTGTATGGAGTTTTCCGGAGAGAAATAGCTTGCTTGGAACACCTGCTCTGTAATGTGAGGGTTATTCTTTCATGTGAGGTCAAGCCCAGAAAAGCAATCTTCAAGGTGGACAGGGTATAGGGAAGGAGATAATTGAAATGTGGATATATTAAAGCAGTTAAATAATGGACACACACAAATGCAATGTATTTTTTTCTCTGATAGAAACCAAAAAGTTGGGAGTGTCAATGTCAAAACACCGAACTCATCCCTAATTACTTCATGGTGCCTAGATGTTTACAGAGATTAAAATGCATGGTTTCCACTCAGAATAATACAGAATACAGAGGTGGGAAAAGACCTATTACATCATTGAAGTTATCTAGCAAGGACAATGTGCAGTAATACCTTGATATAAGCCAGCAAGAAGAGGACAGAGCTGGAGCCATATTTTTCAAATGTCCTCAACTGCATTTGTTATCTTACATCTTTCCATTTATATATTTTTGCCTATAATTTCTCATTGTCTATTCAATTGTCTAATGTTTAATTTCCTTTAACATAGTCTAATCTATTTTTAAACACTCATAGATCAGTGATTTCTGAAGAAACCAATGAAGCTTTAAAAAAAGCTTAGCTCAATGAGGGTAAGTCTACACAGCAACATTATTTCAAAATAACTTACATTATTTTGAAATAATTTAGTCCGTGCCTACACAGCAGGCAGTTATTTTGAAATAATATTGAAATACAGGCAGTCCCCGGGTTACGTACAAGATAGGGACTGTAGGTTTGTTCTTAAGTTGTGTATGTAAGTCGGCCGACTCCTGTAACCCTCACCATACGAGGAGTAAGGGAAGTTGGAGGAAGAGTGCTCTATTTTTGTAGATGCTTCCAACTTCGAAATAAGCTACGCAATTGATATAACTTGAAATAAGGTACACAAATTGAGCTAAGCCCTGCTGTGTAAACGCAACCTAAATGTCTAACATATTCAGATGTATATACAACAGATCCTAATCTGTAAAACAAATCTGTTTTTTGAATAAAAGTACCAGCTTGCCTTCCTATACAGAGTTGTTCCAAGTTATGAATCTTTGAAAAACAAGGTTTAAAAAAAAAGTTGATACTTCTAATCAGAGTAGAGCCATGATCATATTTTTATCTTAGTTGGACTTAAAATAGATTAATCAAGAACTGCTAAGCTACAACACATATTTCTCAGTTCAGCATTAATTAAATCACTAGGCAAAATTATCATAAAACCATAAAATATTTTTAGAAAGTGACACCAGTTGTATTTATCATTTTGATTCTTTCCCACCAAAAACTTGATTTCTTAACTATTTTCCTAAATATTATTGTTCTGCATCAAAACCAATCAAAACCTATAAATAGCAGACTTCTGTTAAAAGGCTTGATTTTGAGTATCTTTTTAGACTGAGTATCGGAAACAGTCTCTACACAACTAGACATGGAACCAAAGGCAGAGCCCTGGGAGTATAAGGGGTGGGTCATCCTTGCATATCCCTGCAACTTGATCCTGATGGGCCAAGGAAAGCTCGCACAACGTAAGGCCTTTAATCAGACAAGTCTGCCAAGGATTTTTTTTTTAATTCGGAAGTCCTCAAGAAAAGCATGTATATAAGGCAAAAAAGTACCTGATAAAGCTGAATAATTAGCATCAACGAAGTCCACAAAGTATGAAAACACACTATTGTAAAGATGTACAAAACCCATGGAGAACAAGACACTATCTGTGTCAAGTAAGTCCATGCGCCGTCTTGGTGGTAAGTTGTTGCACAATGTTCTGACCAATCTGAGAATAAGCAAAGTTGCCTTTACTAAAAAGAATAATTAAACTACCTAAGATCATCAGATCTTACATTGCGAACTCTAGAAACAAAACTTCTATGTTGGATGTTAGCACTTACAACAAGAATACCAATGCAGTGACCGCATGCATACTGCATGCAGCATATACATTTAACAAATTACAACTGGTATCAGAAATCATAGCAAGTTAATTTATTTATACACTATGCAATCATACTACATTAGTATGGTCCATTTATTCAGGATTGCTCCCAGTGAGCCAATTTAAAGCAAAGAAAAATGTGAACTGAAGGTCCTGTCCTACAAAAGATTATAGACGTCTATGAAAATTGGTCTGCCAAGATGGGCTAAATAGACGTTTATTATATTGTTATTAGAAAACTTACCTGGTGCTGCCTGGGGTTGGCACAAGGGTGGCAGAGAAGCAACTCTAGAGGCTCTCACTGGCACTCCCTGGGCTTGGCTGAGGAGGGAAGGGGGGGCTACACAGGCCAGCTGGACATGGGCATACGGTACTGAGGGAGGAAGGGGGTCGAACAGGACTGTGATATCTGGCCCCGGTGTGGGGTTGGGGGTGGGGGGGGGCCACTCAATTGAGCCCTGTCCCCAGATGGCCACTCCTTTCCTGGTGTGGCTGCCCCCAGGCGTCATTTTGCAGTATAGTTGTCCCCTGCGCTCACTGTCCTGAGTGGTCACTGTGCAGTACTGTATCCCTCCAATCAGCCCTCTCCCTTTCCAGGTTATGAAAAACAATCGAATTCCAGGCACATCCCATTTTCCTGGCACAACCAAACTCTGATCGTGCTTTAAGTTAGGATAAGAGGAAGCTCCAAAATGTGATGGCCCTATCTGTTACTGTTTATGAGTTCTTGAATAAATGGACTTGGAGACAGATGGATAAATCTCTAAAATTATATTGATGGATTATATATACACATTAATTACTATACAGTTTTATTTCATGAAATGGACACCCAGTGTATTGGATGGACCCTAAAGGATGTTTTTATAAAATTAAACAATAATATTGCAAGGCAATGACTACTACTTCACTGTGTTATTAGTACTTGAAAACATTGCTTAATTATGGTTTTAAATAATCATTAAAAGCATCTACAGTTTATGACAGCTTTTTGTTTGCATTTATTAATCCAAGGCAATACAAAATAAAGTAAATAAAAGCATCTACAGTTTATGACAGCTTTTCGTTTGCATTTATTAATCCAAGGGAATACAAAATAAATGTAAATGGAGAATATATTTGATCCATGACAGGGGAAAATTAGTGCTTCCACCAAAGTTATAGAAATATGAAGTGGATCGCATTAGTCCAAATGTTTTTATATCTTTGAAACATCTACAAGTCTGGGTGATGTGCTTTTACATATAAAAATATAAAAAGCTAGGAAAGTTTATTTTTAAGGCTCCAACTCAGCAAACCAGTTATGTACTTAAAGTTAAGTACATGCTTAAGTTCCACTGAAGTCTTAGGATTAAGCTAGTTGTCTAAATCCTAAATCTAAGAGCCATCTCTGGTTTTGGATCAAGTGCAATTTTTTCTTTAGGACAATCCTACATTTTTGCACATGCAAGACTCTCATTGAAGCTCAGGGTAAGTACTCAAGACCAGACCTCATTTCTTATAGTGTCATGTATACTCACTTTACTTCCCTATAGGTTACCACTCCTCATTTCCATATATCATTATGCAGAACAGTTTGGATTTTTCTTTGATAATATCACAGTTCACGCTCAGATAGAGTTGCCAATTGTCTAATCACAGAAACCCAAACACCCTTCCACACCCCTTCATAGGTCCCAGTCCTGCCACCCGTTCCCTGAGGCCCTGCTGCCATGTCTGAGGCCCACTCACTCCATCCTTTGCTCACTCTGTCGCTCTCTCCCCCCATCACTTACACTGGGCTGGAGCTGATGAGCTTGGAGTGTGGAAAGGGACTCACACTTGATCCCTGGACAGGGATGCAAGCTCTGGGAGGCAATGTGGGTACAGGAGGGGATTCAGGCTCCAGCTAGGCAGCACTTACCTCAGACAGTTCCCAGAAGCAACTGGCATGACCAAGCATCCCCTAGGCTCAGGGTGGCCAGCAGGCGGCTCCATGTGCTACCCCTGAAATTCTCAGTCAATGAGAGCTGCAGAGCTGGCATATAAGACAGAGGCAGCACACAGAGACCGCCTGACTGCCTCTGCACTGTTGGACTGTCTGGACATGCTGGTCACTTCCAAGACCTGTGTGGAGTCAGGGCAGGCAGAAAGCTGCCTTGGCCCCACTGTGCTGTTGATTGCACTAGGGATGTAAGTGACTAGTCAACCATCCAATAAGCAAAAGCTTATCAGATAGTTGACACACTAGTTGACTAGTTTCTTCCCCCCCTCTCATTGCTACCTCTATCAAAAAAAATCAGCAAGAGGCGGGGGGCAAGAGGATGGGGTGCTGGGGGAGCCGGCTTAAAAGCAGGCTCCCTCCAGCTCCTGCTGGAGCTCTTGTACATTTCAAAGCGGAAGCGTCGCATGGAGCCTGCGGCCAGTGGGGGTTGGCCTTAAGCTCCATGCTGCGTTTCAATCTTTGAAATGCACAAGAGCCCTTACTGTGGCCATGTGCCAGCTGGTACCGGCAGATGCTTCTTGCCGGCATGCTCTACCAGCACGTATCAGATAGTTGACACACTAGTTGACTAGTTTCTTCCCCCCCTCTCATTGCGACCTCTATCAAAAAAAATCAGCAAGAGGCGGGGGGCAAGAGGATGGGGTGCTGGGGGAGCCGGCTTAAAAGCAGGCTCCCTCCAGCTCCTGCTGGAGCTCTTGTACATTTCAAAGCGGAAGCGTCGCATGGAGCCTGCGGCCAGTGGGGGTTGGCCTTAAGCTCCATGCTGCGTTTCAATCTTTGAAATGCACAAGAGCCCCTACTGTGGCCATGTGCCAGCTGGTACCAGCAGATGCTTCTTGCCAGCATGCTCTACCAGCACACCTTCACCTCTGGAATAGATACAGTAATTCCTCATTTAACATGGTAGATACATTTCAGAAAATGATCATGCTAAGTGAAAACGTATTAGGCGGAGTCAATTTTCCAATTAAAAATAATGGAAAAGGTGGGGGTTGCGTTTCAAGAGCACGTGTGCTCGCAGCTCCAGCCTGCACTTGTTAGCAGCTGGGACTGGGACATAAGGTTGGGGGAGAAAGGGGACTGGGTTATAGCAGGGAGGGGAGGTGTTTGGCTCTGGAGAAGGGAAGGGAAGGGAAGGACATGGGAGGGGGCTTGCAGCCACCGGCCGAGTTTCCCCAGCTGGCTGGTCACCGGCAGCTGCGCGGGGCTTCCTCTGCCTTCTTACAAAGCGGTGAAGGTTTGCTGCTCGCCGTGCAGTTCCCCAGTGACCCCCTCTGGCCAGACGCTTTGTAAGGCGGCAGAGGAAGCTCTGGGCAGCTGCACGGGGCTTCCCCTGCCTCCCTGCAAAACGGCGGGGGTTTGCTGTGCTGTTCCCTGGCTACTCCCTCTGGCCGGATGCTTTGCGTGAGGTGAGGAGGGGTCGTTAGGGAACGGCACAGCGAGCCTGCAAGTGGCAAACCTCTGCCACTTTGGAGGGAGGCAGGGGAAATCGTGTTATTGATTTCGTGTTATTGAGGGGACGGGTTGTGTTGTTTGAAAAATGTTTCCTAAAAAAAAATTGTGCTATCGCAAAAACGTGTTTAGTGGGCACACGTTAAGTGAGGAATTACTGTACACACACTTTTATTATTTATGCCTCCTGAATTTTATTTCTAGAAGAACCTCCACTTCTCTTCTGAAGTCATATTTCCTAAAAATGCAGATCACTGTAACAATATCTTTTAAAAATAAAATATAAATTTTGAACTGTTATTAATACCTGACAAAAGTTTAATCAAAATCTTTATCCTGATTTCAGGTACATGGCTATTTTTGTTAAGAGTTATGATTGTTCCAGCACAAGCAAGATCAGGATTGAACCACAAAATGACAATATATGAAATGCCAGCAAATAAATGAAATAAGTAAGAGCACTTTGAACATACAATTCAAGTAAAATATATAAATACGTACAGAGGAGAGTTCCATAGAACATCCAGGTCCCCATCATAGTTAGGAAGAGCAGAAACAAAAGGAAATAATAATGGTTGCCAACACCTGTATTAGGGACAACGAAGAAAAGACTTTATATTGTGTATCTTAATACAGTTAGTATTTTCCCAAAGTTAACACAAGTAGAAAGATAGTCAATGTTCTTACTATTCCTTCCACCATGATCAGTATATTTTACCACAGCTTGACCTAATTCCTTCCCAACTTCTCACACTAGTAATTCCAGATACACTGTTTCTAATGAGATTTTCTTGAGCTAGAGCAGAGAAGGGGTTGCTAGTTAAGGCAAGCTCCTAATACAGACTACATTTTTGTCACCTTTTTCATTAATTCCATTGATGTATCTCAACTTTGTGGTCTTCAGCATCGTGAAAAATACAAAATAGACTATCTTGGGTATCGTAGCACACAAACAATACTCTCACTTGAAATCTTGCTTATAAATATATTCAAGTTTTACATCAGAGTTATTTCAGTCTAACATAACTTTGCACACCTCAAACAGTGTAGTGGACAGTCTAAGCATTTCCAATTTACAAGCAAAATTACAATAACTAAACATGGGTTTTAATAAGACAGTCCTGCAGATTTAAGGTCCATAACAATCCAAGCCTGTCTATATTTTTCTCCATTTCCTCCTGAATGATAGTGCTTGGAGCTGGAGGACCCATTTTAGCTGCCTCACTTTAATAGCTTCAATTCAGAGACCAAACAATAAAGGAGAAGGGCTGGATACAACTCTCACCGACACCTGTCAATACCCATTCATCTATCAATCACACCAGTTAACTAGATTGTGCTGTTAGGTGCTGTCCTTCAGGAGATTAGCACAAGGGGGTTCCAAGTATGCTAAAATAAACTCACCTATACATTGTCCAGTCCACAGACAATGTTGGTCATATCTAGCAATACATGAGTTGCAAGCAATGCAATGCATGGATCTCAAAGGCTTTTTTACCTAGTTGAAAGTGGAAGGGGAAAATTCAATAATTCATGACATTCATAAATCATGTAAACTACTTATTTTTGCTCTACATTCAAAAATAAAAAAAATGAAATGCAGTTTCCATTACAGACTCAACATTTCAACATAATTTAAATGACACAATTATGCACTTTTCCTTTTATAAGCCAACTAAAACTATCTATAGTAGTTTAAAGGATTATTTGAAGGCATACGGCCTGTAGTCCTCACTAATGACCAAGGAATACCAAGGAAGGACAAAAAAATGTAATACTCTTATTCAGACAGCTATGCACGTAACTCCCTGTGTATCAAAACGAGAGTAATCCACATTAAATGTGCAATGAAAGCCTCACTTACAAGACATGATATGCAAAATGTTCTGAGATCCAAGCAGCCAGCTTCCGCAAGAGTAACAATACTCTGAAAGACACAAGTTATTTTACAATTCTATTTATCTCATTTTTCCAACAGTGTCAGGAAGATCAGAGGTTTCTTAAATAATATCAAGATGATGAATCCTTTTCAAGTTTTATTATTAAAAATATGCAATCAAAATATTAACACTGAGATGAAGCTAAATTGTTCCCTGGAGCAGACACAGATTCAAGGAAATGCAATATGGATAAGACCTATTTGATTTAATCCTCCAGTACCCCATCCAGGCAGGATAAGTGTGGGGGTTTTTGTTTGCGAAGTAGTCCTTGATCAGAATAGTTAAAACCACTTATTTAGTATAGTATCTTTGGTGCGGTTAGTACTTCTGACAAGGGATGTTCACCAAATAGCTGTTAACCAGTTAACCGATAAGTGATTGCTTACTCGTTAACATACTGGTTAGCCACATCAAAACCAACCCCCGCTCCTTCCCCTGTGCCACATGCCCTGCATTTAAAACTTGGATCAACAGGCTGGCTTAGTCCCAGCCCTCTGTTCAGAATTTTAAATGAGGAGCATGCAGGTGCGTGCAGTCTGTGTGGAGAGTCAGTTTGAAAAACAGCTCCTGCCTGCTGCCTGTTTCTTTTATAGAGGCGGGAGCGCAGAGTGGCAGCAGTCCCTGTCTGTGGGGGACAGAAGCTGCTCCAGCATTCCATGCAAACAAGGGCTGCTGCGTGGAGCAGTCTCCACAGTGGGCCTGAGGTCATCACAGACAGAGGCTGTTCTGAGGGATTCTGGAGCAGCTTCTATCTACCGAAATCTTGGGCCCTCCGTGGACAGGGGCTGTTGCCATCCTGCGCTGCTGCCTCTGTATCAGATACACAGGCAGCAGCACAGAGTGGCAGGGAGCTCCCCAGGAGCGAGGCTGGGAGCACACTGGCTGCTGCCCCCAACCCCAGTTGGAGTACTAAGTAATGGTTGAAAGGCTAAGAATTTTAGTTACACAAATATTGAAATACACTGAAATAGGCTGTCAAGCAATAAAACAATTTAATCGTGCACTGCCCCTTTGAAACGCAGCGGCGGCATTTCAAAGGGCAGCACTGCAGCTGGAGTGCCCAGATGATCCCCAGCTGCACATTACGCTGCCCCTTTGAAGCGCCGTTCCAGCCTTTCCAAGGGGCAGCGCTGCACCGAGCCGGGGTCAACTGGAGACTCCAGCTGATCCCCGGCGCCTAATGAGCTGCCCCTTTGAAGTGCCAGAGCAGCTCTTCAAAGGGGAAGCGCAGCAGTAACACCTGCAATTAACACGTTAAAAAAATTAACGCATTAATCCTTCCCTGTGTTCATCGCAGGTGTTAACGCACATCAATTGGCAGCCTAAAATACATGATTTCTGACATTCCTACTTCTGACAGATAACGATGGCATAGGCTGCTGTATACGGTGTCCCCCCCGCCCCGGTATGCCAAGTAACCATGATGCAGACTATAGTAAGCTACCTGTTCACTGCATGGCAACTTCTTGCTCTTGCATCCTAAATGAAATTGGATAAAGGTTGCCTCACTACTTTTCCGATAATGTTCAACAAGAAGATCATGAAAAAGGTCTTGACAAAACTTATTGCAGTCCTAGCTTGGAGCATCAACAGAACTTGGAAACATAAGCATGCATAATACTTTATAAGCATATGGAAACCACATGAGATCCTCACAGTTTGTGGGTCAAGTTCTCTATTAAGTTATACCACTATTAATTTAGACAACACTAATGGCATTTTATAGGGTCAAATTCAACTGCATCTCAAACTTCAACAGACACATATATCTATGTGAGGTGATAGCTGACACAGAAAAGTTATTTTTAAGAAAGCATAGAGAAGAGAAATAATTTACAATATATGAAAATATATAAGTATTAGAGTCACTTACCGTACTAAGGGTTAAAATGAATCTCTGAAGACTAAAGAAAATATTACTGTTCACTGTTTAAATATAAAAATCACAGAAAAGAATGCACACATTATACTGTGGTATATTTTAAGTTGATTTATGGAGGTAAAATACCTTTCTCCTTTCTTCTTCAGAAATCTTGATGCATCCAGGATCAGTTCTCCATGTTTTGTAGAAATAGTAGAGAAGACCCACTACACTAAGGATAAAGGGGATCTGGAAAATTGTGTCTGCTAAATGTAGCATTCAGGTTAAGGAATATTGTTTCACATAAATCACCATCAACACTTTGTCCTTACAAACAATATACTTTAAAATTAACTTGCATGGCATCATTGTAGTTTTACAAGTATTTCACTAATAAAGGAAAAAGGATAGACTAGTCTGGTACCCTCAGGACCTGACTGGTCCTGGATAATGGATTTTGCCAGACCAGGAGAGGTCATTTTTAGACACCTGCCACCAGCCCTATGGCCTGGCTGCTGGCTTCCCTACCTCCTGCTGACCCCACTGTTCTACCAACCCCCTCGGCAGCTGCTCAGCCCCTCTGGGCAGCCACATGTTAGGTCTTCCAACTCTGCTGGGCAGCACCACTGTCACACGCTAGGTGGGCAGCCCACTGCCCTGCCAGCCTTGCAGGGATCCTTACTGCTGGCCATTCATCAGGACTCTCTGGTCCTGCAACATCCATGCCCAACCAGAGAATCCTAGTTAAGAGAGTGTCAACTTGTAATATACTCTTTACTCAACTCAAGATCCTGAACTAGATGTACTCCCGATTTGATGAGGTATAGATAGTTCTTCCTTTTTCTATTTCTGCTCAATTTTATAATATTTACAGGCAAATATACAGATAAATATAAAGGTTTTAGGTAGAGAATTGTATAATCTAATTCTATATTTAGAGAGAGAGAGAGAGAGAGAGAGAGAGAGATATTTGTTGCACTATTACTCTAACAGTTTTATGTAAAGACAGAAACATGTGTATTATATACCAAATTTTTACACTCCTATATTATAAACAGAGCTCGACAAATTATACAATCTACTCACCCGTGGCGAGTAGATTGTAACCCGGAAGAGCCGGGTTCGGGCGATCTGCGCATGCGGAGAACGATCTGCGCATGCGCAGATCGCCGGACAGCACGGCTGGTGAGCGGGGCTCGCCATAGTTTGGCGAGCCCTGATTATAAGCATTTATACAGGTTGTGGGAAGGGAGAAGGCACCTAACCAAAGTACACCAAGTTAAGACTGGTATCTTCCTAAATACAGCACTTCGTATTTTTACTTCAAAATTGTTCTCTCTTGTATATTACAAATGCAATGAGGTAACTTAATGGCTAAAACCAAAAATGCTACTTTAACAAATATTGATATTTTGTTTTGTAAAATGTAATCTTTTCAATAATTCATATTATATCTAGTAAAATGCTACTGCAGGGCATTCTTTTATTATCCCATATGATGCTATATTATTTGCGGGTACTATAAATACCCTGCATCCCTATCTGTTTTGTAGATTTGGGGAGAGCAAATACAGAACATAATGTCAGAGTTTAGCAAAGTGTTCAACAAACAAATCAAATTCTACATTTACACACTGCAGTAAAAACAAATAAACTTGCTTATAAAGTGAGACAAATACATACATGCATTCCCATCTGGAATACAGTACATGCAACCACAGAAATTAATCCTGATAATCTTATTAAGGTGATCTAATTAGAAATAGTACAAAAATGCCACCTAAGGGATTAAATAATTAAAAATGCAATGCTACTTAATGTAGCAATATAGTACTGCTGGTTTACCACAGAAATTTATTTTCAGTTACATGTCCCCCTAAAGGCCTTCTGATTTAATGGAAATGTTTTACAAAATTAACAGATAAAGCCCTCTGTGTAACAAAGCAGATACTATTTAAAGGAATACTAAATTCTATTTAAAGGAATACTTGAGAATATAATGGATAAAGCTTGAAAAGCCCAATCTCAATACCATCAACTACAGTCCCAAAATAAAATCTGTATTATGATTAGCAATTAGTGTCTAATCATGTAAGCCCCAATTTCTGTCCATTGATAGCCTTCAGGTAAAGTCCTTCAAAATCACACCATCCCTTCATAATGGAAATAAAGTACCAACCATATATACACTTACATGTTAATAACAAAAATAATATATACAGGCAGTCCCCGAGTTACGCGGATCCGACTTATGTCGGATCCGCAGTTACGAACGGGGACCTCTCCCTGGTCTCCAGCAGACCAGGGAGAGGAAGCAAAGCGGCGGAACACGCGGGCAGCGGACAGCCCAGACGCGTCT